TATGTAGCTAGCTTACATAACTTTGGGTGGATCGTAACACCTCACAAGAAAGTCACGATCACGAGCCCTTTGCTTCCCCCCCTCGCGACAAACCCGACAACGACAGTGACAACGACAACGACAGGAAGGGATAGTTCGCATGGAAAACATGCTAGATTCTGCAGATGATCAAGGACGCAGAAGGAGGGAGGAGGATTGAATGATGTGGACACAGGTACATGTCCACGGAGCATTTTGGATTGGAATAGATAGGAAGTGAATTTTGGTAGCGAATACCCGCATCATCCGACCGAAATAGGTAGCCATCTTCAAGCGTTACATCTAGTTGAAATTTAAGGGGGTCTCTTTTCAGCCACATAACCCGTCATCCAACTCTTATTTTCAATATTAAAACGTCGCACAAGGCTCTATCGAACACATGTGAGTCTACAAGGCTGTGACGAACCGTTACAAGCACAGGAGTATTATCGCTGGGATAGAACAATAGAGTAACGGAGTAGTAGCCAAAAGGTACTGGTAGGTTGTGATAGCTATTGCTTGCTGAAGAACCAGGTATAACGAAGGCCGGGAGGCCTTCTTATATACTGGTCTTCAACCCCGTCCCGTGGTCCCGAAAGCCCGGGACATCGGGTCCTATCTGATTGGTCAATCTATCTAGCTTACATGAGGCTCAACGATTGGATCGTAACAAAGGCGTAAAGGTATGCGCAATGGCTCGGCCGAGTGTGGATCAGGAGAGGCTGAAGAGCTGCCAGGTTCCACGGCAAGCGGGATCACGACATGTTGTTGTGCTCTTTAACATCTGGCCGGGAACATGGACAACGAAACGCTCCGTTCTGTGACAACAAACATCTCTGTACGATGTGTTGAATTATTAGAATCCTATAAGTCCCACTGACCGGCTCTACACGGTGCTCAAATTGTATAAGGAGTTGGCGATGCCTTCTTTGTCCAGTCCCCAATGATCAAGTAGCTGACCCATCAGTTCTAAGACATCAATCAACTCCGTGATTCAGCCTTTCGACGAGCATTCTAACAACAGCCGAATAGCATGCTCGGATGCAGGCTCAGCACGTGCAACCTCGCTGCACAAATCAGGTGGCTTCCCCAAAGAGATCACATTTTCAAAAAGTCTCCCGAACAGCTTCCATATGGCTTACTTTGGTCACCCGGTCCTTATTGTCACCGAGGGCATGGATGCGAAGGGCCGGGTTAGCGGTCTCTTTGTAAGTTTACCTTGATTGTCCAGCAGGAACTTTCCGGTCCTCGCGATTTCTCACGAGCTTAAACTTCTTGATGCTGACCGGACTGTCTTTAACCCCTTCAGATGACATCCTTTAACAACCAAAATATCATCGACAAGTTCCCCGAGCGCCGCAGAAGGCTGCCTTACTGGCCCATAAAACCGACCCCTGTGCACCCCGACACCAAGGATCTCCTTGAGCTCAAAGACAAAAGACTCATGGCCAGGGAATACTCGTACGTCAACAGCCAAGGTTCCTGTTCGATTCGCTACGACATCCTGGAGCCGTACATACCAGAAGACCCAGAGGACGCTTGGGTCCTAGATGAGGAATCCTATTTGAAGGTCACCCAAGGACGGGACTACAGTAAGTTCCAGAGCAAATCATGGAGAAAAGAGGAAGAGGAATCGCTTCCGCCGCTGCCGGAATCCGTGAAATAAAGGATGGAGGAGGGGAAACAAGCATCCAGGATGCACGAGGATTCGGAAACATTGGATATTGCAAAGGAGATTAGAGAAAAGACATGGAGAGAGTACTACGAGGATATCATGGGGGAATTTCTGCCCCGGACGATACCGTGGGGTCTTTTATGGAAACATTTTCCTTTTAGGTGGATGAGCCCGATCCTTGATGCTTCTAGGGGATGTGAAAGGGACCGGAAGCAAATTAGAGAAGGAGTATAATGGTGCGTTGGGATTCTGGATAATTAGGTACTAGGAACGAATTTTGACTGTCGAATATGAAACTGGTGGGTGTTGAAATGTAGAGCAACGGATGTCAATCACTGCATCATGATGGCACATCCGCGATAATGATTTGGAATCAAAGACTTCAAATCTCGTGGATCAGTCATGTTAAGAACTCTTGAAGATAATGCGTCAATTCAAGTAGTACAAGCGGTTCGGTCCGAATACCTCCGTTCTCCGTTCCTTCCCACTCTCACCCGAGCGTTCTTTCTTCAGCGCTTCCGCGCTATCTGCCCTGGTTGGGGACGGGAGGTGGGGGGTACAGGACCGATGAACCTTTTTTTTCCATCTTCTTCTTAGGTTCTAGGTTTCTCTTCAAATCTTTCTCGACTCGACGTCCAATCTTCCGCCACGCGATCAAGCCACACGTGCACCTCGAGTTGTCGTTAACTTCCCGCGTCCCGTATGCTCGGTCCTTTTTCCCGCATCCCGGCTTCCGTCGCACCCGACACATGGGACGTCAGACCTGCACCGCAGAGATCAAACTTGCACATACATCGCGCGCGGTTGTGCAGACGGGTGCAAAGGAGGGGGTAGGGCGAAGGACCGCTACACAAAGGCCGCACAGGAGCCTCACGACAGCAAGAGCCGCAACGATCTCATGTCGTGGATCACGACGTGGAGCTATGCATGGATATGCGAAACGCAACATAGTCGACGAGAGACGTGATACGATTTGGGGACTTGAAACATCGCGAGCACTCGTACGGACCTCCACAGATGTTGTTGAAGGGGATGGAGCCGTATAAGAAGGTCGGATCACCTAGTTGACGATGTGCACATCTGGAGACGTACATCGAAACCTCAATACCAGACCTTCTTGGCCACAAACCACATTTCCATCCGTTTGGTCTTGCCGAATGCTTGCCAATTAGCATGGCCATCGACAACACGTTATACTCCGAGGATGATGGCGGCTCTCGTCGTACCAGCCTCAGCACAACCAGGAATCGTTATCTACCTCTATACAGGCAGGAAAACGATGACCACGGCCACCATCGGAGTAACAGCATCCGAAGCGTCAATTATGGCAACGGTACCTCAACCCGGTGGAATGGTTCTCGCCAAGCCGGCTCAGGCGAGTCAAATTTGAACTGGAGAGAACGGTCTAGAGCTCCGGATCTTGATCCCAGTAATATTGCTGGACAGATCATGGTTTTACCACCGATGCCGAAACTTGACCTTCTTAAAGTAGGGGGATCAGACGGGCGTCGTCTGGACGATGATGGTTACGAGCATCCGGTGCTTATTCTGACCAATCCGGACCATGAAGGTTACGTTATTTGCCAGAAGGCGAGTATTCCTCCGTTTTCATCTCTTTCTTGCGATGGCTGACGGGACTTTTGATCCAGATGACCTCTTTCAAGTGCACAACTCTTGCAAAGAAGTTTCCAGGCGACAGAGACAAGCCCAACAAGTACACAGGTTCTTATATGCAGATTGCTGACGATCAACCACCCGATCCTGATGCTCCAATCGTACTTCATCTATACAATGAACACAATACCTGGCCCAAGTACATGAGAAAACGGTCATTCGTCGAGACTATCAAGTCATACAGATGTCGTCGGTCTATCTTGGAACCATACGAGGATTCAAGAAACCCATGGTTCATCGATGCCGACTCTTTGGACATAGCCATTGCTCGAGTTCTGTTTATGAAGGTGGAGTTCCCGCTGCGTTCAAACAATCTTCTCGAGCCTCAGAAACCACAACACATGGTCGTCCCATTTGGTACAGACAGGCATCCCGGCAATGTTGTGCAGATGCTCCCACGAAAACCACACTTTGGGAAGAAGCCACTACAGCTAGCACAACCAGCTCAACCAGCACAACCAGCACAGGCAGCGGACATAAAGCAGCCAGACTCTCCCCAGCCGTCCGCCGAGACTCCTAGGCCCGCTCCGTCGAACAACATCCGGGAAGCCATCTTCAAAAAGCTTCATATGGACAGTTTGAGCCAAAAAGTCAAGACTATCGAGGACATGGAGTCTTCCTTTCCGAAACACAGAGCGCTGGAGCCAAAGCCCTCGAGGATGATGCAAAATTTCCTGCGCTCTGTAAGAAGAACAGCTACGCCGTGGTCCGACGCTCACTAAGAAGAAGACGGAGAGGCTCTTCAGTCACTTAGAACGGTGGAAGGTCAAATGTAGGCATGCGATGGGGAATGGACGGCCTGTGGTGGATTTAAGGATCTAAACTGGAAGGCAATGGTTCACTGAATGTTTTCTTTGCTTTCTCGTATTAGGTTGATAAAGAGGGACCACGATGGTATGACGGGAT